GCTCCGTGTTCAGGCTGGAGCTGGGACTGGGAACTGATGGATCCCACTCAGAGCTCCGTGCCCAGATTGGAGCTCATGGGTCCCGCTCAGAGCTCCGTGCCCAGGCTGGAACTGGGATTTGGAGCTGATGGATCCTGCTCAGAGCTCCATGCCCGGATTGGAGCCGGGGTTTGAAGCTGATGGATCACGCTCAGAGCTCCGTGTTCAGGCTGGAACTGGGGCTGGAGCTGACAGATCCCGCTCAGAGCTTCGTGCCCAGGCTGGAGCTGGAGCTGGAGCTGATAGACCCTGCTCAGAGACCCGTGCCCAGGTTGGAACTGGGGTTTGGAGCTGATGGATCCTGCTCAGAGCTCCATGCCCAGGCTGGAGCTGATGGATCCCGCCCAGAGCTCCGTGTTCAGGCTGGAGCTGACGGATCCCGCTCAGAGCTGACGGATGCAGCCCTGATTCAGCAGAAGCGGCTCGGGGCAGGCCTGATTCAGCAGAGTTAATGACGCTGTTATCGGAGCGCAGCGCTGGAGTCAGCAGCGGGACGGAGGGCGCAGCAGCCCGCGGGCACGGCATCACCTCGCGGGGCTGGGCATGGCTGCCCTCGCCTTTATCAGCATTGCAAAGTTTTATTGCCGCAATCACGCTGCTGGTAATTGCACTGGGAGCAGGAGGGCACCTCCACCCCCTTTCTGCCGCTGCTTCTCCCTCCTGCCCAGCCTGGGCCGGCTCGGACCCGGGGCACAGCGGGTCCCTTAACAAGGACATGTCCGGGGTTTCAGAGGTGACCCCAGGAGGGTTTCCACCCCCACCCTATGGAAGGGAACCTGAGCCCAGCTGCGAGGAACACCCCGACCTCCCCTCGCTGCAGCTCCTGCCCTCAAACCCTCCTTTCACTGCGATCGTGTTTCCCGGTGATCTGGTGAGGTGGAAATAGATCCCTGTGCCAGGGTCACTGAGAGTGGAAGGAAAACTCCACTGATTGCTCCTGGTGTGGCTGAGAGGGAAATGCACATTTACCGGGCTGGAGATTTATCCTGCAGCGTTCAGCGGCTGCAGGGATCCAGCAGGATTCTGGAGGAGGGGAGAGGTTGGGAACAGCCCGTTCTGGGCTCTCTGCAGGTGCTCAGGTTCTGCACCGTGCTCATGGAAAATCCAACGGGAGGAAGGTGGGATGATCCCCCCTTCACAAGCACTGAATCCAGAGGGACCGGCTGAGGGGCAGGAGGAGGGCAGGGGGATGAGCACACAGACCCTGCCTGGTTTGGTTTGACTGCTGTGAGAAGAAAAAGTACCCCACATCATCAACTTAAAAAAAATGCTTTGTCACAGCCATGGATTGTGGCATCAGAACCATCCATAAGTCTTGAGGGGGGAAGGACAGGTGTGGAACACTTTGCTCATCATGATGAACTAATGCACTGAAGGCTTTGAAGGCTTTAAAAATGTGGGAACTACCTCAGTTCGCTGCTGCCATCTCCACCATCCCAGGAGCTGCCTGAAATCACAGGAATGTTTATTCTCCTCAGCTGTATTCACAGGGAAATCCTTCATTTCCAAGCTGGGCTAGATAATTCATCAGCTCCAGGCAGATAAGCATTATTTCCATCTCCTCAGTGAGACGTAATTAGCTGGCATGATTAGACTTTATCAGCCTGCAATTCTGCACAACTCAAACACTGCACAGCCTCTGATGGGAGGGACGGCTGTGCCAGGTCCCTCAGAGCCCCAGCATGTGGGACAGGCCCAGGACAGGGTGTGACAAAGCCATTTGGGCATCACTTGTGCTGCTGGCACTGCTGGTTTGTTCTCCTGAATCCAGGGGCTTTACCTGGAGCCTTTGCAGAGGATGTGGGGAAGCAGAGCTGGGAGATGGGAGCTGAGCCTGCAAAGGGGGATGGATTTAAGGACATTCTTGGGAAGGATGGAGCCAGGAGGGGAGGCAGGAGGGCAGTGGGGGGCTGTGTCTGCACCCCTTGTGCTCAGCAGGGTGGGCTCAGAATGTGAGGCTGGGCTCCCAGGAACTGCAGCTGGAGAGGAAGGACAAACCAT